CTGGTACGGCACCGAATGTGATTTCAACGCAATGGTGATTGATTTATTGGGACCATCCTTAGAAGATTTGTTTAATTTTTGTAATCGCAAATTTTCATTGAAAACTGTATTACTGTTGGCTGATCAATTGGTAATTTTTTTAATTAAGTATTATTTAACTGACTAATTATTTATTTGTTGTCTATTTATTTTTAATTTTTTTTTAATTATTTAATTATTTTTAATTATTTAATTATCTTAACTAATTTAATTATTATTTTATATTTAACATTTAAATAAATAAATAAATAAATAATTAATTAATTAGATTTCTCGAATCGAATACATTCATTCTAAAAACTTTATTCACCGAGATATCAAACCAGATAACTTTTTAATGGGAATCGGTAAACGGGGTAATCAAGTGAATGTAATCGATTTTGGTTTGGCCAAAAAATATCGTGATCCAAAGACACACTTACATATTCCTTATAGAGAAAATAAGAATTTAACAGGAACGGCTAGATATGCAAGTATTAACACTCATCTAGGTGTCGGTATGTATTTTAAAAATGATATTTTGAAATTATATTTTTATTATTTAATTATTTAATTTATTTAATTTATTTAATTTATTTAATTTATTTTATTTACTTATTTTATTTATTTATTTAATTTATTAATTATTCTTTTATTATTATTATTTTTTTTTAAAATATATTATTAGAACAATCTCGACGTGATGATCTTGAATCACTGGGTTACGTTATGATGTATTTCTGTCGTGGATCACTTCCATGGCAAGGACTTAAAGCAGCAACAAAGAAACAAAAATATGATCGCATCATGGAAAAAAAAATGACCACGCCCACAGAACTTCTTTGTCGTGCATTCCCCAATGAATTTGCCATCTATTTGAATTATACTCGATCCCTTCGATTTGATGATAAACCTGATTATAGTTATTTGAGAAAATTATTTAGAGATTTATTTGTTCGTGAAGGATTTCAATACGATTATGTCTTTGATTGGACGATTTTCAAATACGTATGAAATTTAATTAATATTAATTTGTTTATTAATTTTTTATTTATTATTTTATTTATTTATTATTATATTATTATTTTTATTATTATAAATTATTATTAATTATATAAATATTTTTATATTAA